TAGACAATGTTTTACTAACACTTCTACCTCAGACTTTTCAAGAATGTCATTCCTCCTGAGTAGGTGTTAATCCTGCCTCTGACTACCCATGTCAATGCAAATATAATTTTTAAAAAACAATTTCTGCTTTTGCTTGTGATGTGAGCACCTCGTGAAAGTAATTGATTTGTCCTTAAGCAATTAAATCTCTAATCATTCCTGTCTAGAAGTTTAAGCGTTACTGTAAGCAATTACTGTTAAAATTAGTGATCAAGAGTGACTAGCATAGACTGATAGGTTTCCTTATGCTCTTCTTGTCCAAATCTGGTGTGCATTTTGAGTGATGCTAACTATGAAATCAGTTGAAGCAAGTGTCCCAGTTGATGTCATAAGAGAAGGCCAATTATGTGAATTAGTAAGTGTCTAAGTTAACTGTATAGTCTTGCAGGTGACCCTTCCAGTTCATGAATTAATTGTATAACTGAGGAAACTGCATCCTTGGCTGTTTTTGGGACTTCAGTGGGATGCAATTTCTTGCAGTAGTACTAAATCCAGTGCTTATTTAAGTGTAGGGTAGGCAGAGAAAGCAATTTCCCCATGTATAATAAAATTAGTGAGAGGGGTAATGGAGTGTGTCTAAGTTTAAAAAAAAAAAAAGCTACTTTGGAAATCTAGGCATCTGATAAGAAATGGCAAGATATGAAATGAGGTCTTGATTTTTTTCCCTTTGCAGGGAAGGAAACACTTGGGTACACAGAGAGCTGCCCTTACCTCTGAGCAGCTGGAGCCTGAAGGTGAGGGATACATCATTTGGTTACCACTGATTGGAAGTGGAAAAATTGTCATCAAGAAAGTGAGGCTGAGGGAATCGCTGGCCTCAGGCCTTCAGTCCTCCAATTTACACTTCAGTTACAGAGGAGATCCTAAGACTTCTGTCTAATCTGAGACAAAACTTTATGAAACAGAAAAACTAGTCACCTTTTATTCTGTAAATGACTTATGTTTTTGCCTAATGAAGAATTTTCTTTGTAAATATGCTAACTCCAGAGGTGGTACTTGTACTCTTACCTATGTACTGTTAGTTTTATTTATTGGTGATATTATCCAAGAGCTCTAGTTATAAATTAGGTCTACGGGTAACCTACAATGAAACCATGTTTTGCAATAGTAGTGGCTGGTGGTAGAGGGGAAGAAAGACTAAAGAACCACTAGCAGCTGTAGACACCAGCACCTCCGCCCTGCTGTCAAGTAGCACAATAGATACCTCTCGCTCTCCTATGCCACGCGGGGTTAGGACAGCTTCAGGTAGTCTGCTGGCCTGAGGCTCCAGGGGCTG